GCGGCGTCAGCCAGGTGCCTGCTGCCTGGAGCTGACCAGCACCGCGGCGGCATCCGCGGCCCGTTTTCCCTCCGTGTGCCCGTTGCTGCCGTGGCCGCAAACGTGCAGAGTGCGGTCCCTGGAGAGGCCGTGTCAGGGCCTGGGGTCTCGAGGAGGCGGCCCCAGCACCCAAAGGCCACGACGCAGCCCCTCCCCCCGACGCCTGCCGCCTCCATCAGGCCGATGGGCTCCTGGCAGCTGTGCCGGCTGGGGCAACGCCCCGGGGCCCAGGCCGTGGCCGTGACCCCAGGAGGTGGCCTCGGGGCCCAGGCTGTGGCCAGTGCTGCTGTCCCTGGAGTGGAACGATGCTCGTCCTGCGGCTCTGCCCCAGAGAAGGTGGCGCGCCTCCCCATCCTTCCTCCGCCCCCAGTGTCTGCCTAAGGACTCTGAGGCTGGCTCTGCCCTCTGCTGTTTCTTGAGCCTCCCACCCCCCTGCAAATCCCCGATCCTGGCTTGGACACTTCCAAACCCCCAGGTCTCAATTCCCAGCCACTCACCACGTAGTTCCCAGTGTTGCGGGTGGAGCCCTGGACCCTGACAGGTGTGTGGGGCAGCTGCAGCCCCGCCCCAACCGTGGTCCCTGGCCTTGCAGCTGGCAGGGGATGGGGGTGCCTGGGCCAGGCCCCCAGCATGTCGGACGGCAGCCCTGGGCTGAAGGTACACACATCGCTGCTAGCTGGAGGGCAGGAAGGAGGTGGGGTCCCCTCTGTCAGCCCCAGGGAAATGAAAACACCTAAAGATTCGGCTTTGGGTCCTCGGTGCCTGCTACAGCCGGAATTCAGAGCCCAGGCTCCCAGAGTCACCCCTGAAGGCCGCGGGGTCCACATGCCCCCTCCGCCCAGAGAGGGACGTGGCATCACTGCCCGTTACACAGGGCTAATACTGGTGTCACCTCGGCCTGTTGGCATGAAGCTTCCCAGAGGGAGCCCTCGGCCGCGGCCTCGTGGGAGGAGCTGTGCCAGGCTCTGGGGCGCGGTGCCAGCCCCCGAGACCGCTTCCATCACTGAGCGGGGTTCGCATGAGGGAGCGTGAGGCACCTTCCGACTCTCCCGGCCTCGGCCTCCGCCCCCGGGCCAGCCCAGTGGATGCGGGACGGCGGCTTCCTGGCGCGGGGTGGGCTAACCACCGGCCTTCCTCGGGGCTCCCAGGAAGAGGCCTGTTCTGTGGGCTTCCTGCCCCCCCGGACAGAAGCCCTGCTGCGATGGGCATCCAGGGCCAGGCCCTGCCAAGGAGCAAAGCCAGCGACGTGGCTTTTATGAGCGTGTCCAGCTGGCAGCCCATGTCCTGAGCATTCGCTAAAGGCCAGGACTTACTGGGGGCCATGGCGTGAGCCAAGAGTCCTCTGTGAGCCTGCCCAGCTCTGGGCCAGCCCCGGGGCAGGAGGCCCACACCCGGGGAGTTCTCAAGTGTGGCTGCTGCCTCTGCCACTCTCTCCTGCGTCCCGGCACATGGCTGGCCATCTGGGTGTGGCCACGCCGAGCCTGCCTTCCGTCAGAACCTGCACATCTCCCTACACCCGGGTCATGCTGCAGAGCCCGCGTCCCTCCGTTCCCCTGCCAGAGTCTGGCCTGGGGTTTGGACGCCTCCCGCACCCAGCCCAGCCGCTCCCAGCTGTGGTCACCAGCCCTGTGCTCAGGGACCAGGCTGTATGACGCCCCGCCACGGTCATCTTGTGTGTCCAGAATGCGCTGCCAGCTGCAGGACGGCGTGCCCTCCCTGGGTGGACAGGGGCTGTCACTGTCCCCCCTCCTCGTAAATCTTTCCCTCCTCAGAGCTGTCTTTGCGTGGGCTCCTCCAGAATAGACTCTGACTGATCGGTTTACTCAGGAGGCAGTCCCTGGATCCTCTGGTCGGGAATGGGGTGCGGCCCCCACCGTAGGGGCCGCGTGCAGACCCCGGAGTCGCCCATCCAGGGGCTCGGGGGCGTGTTCCGGTACAGCAGCTCCCGACCCCTGACCTGACCAGGAGCAAACCCAAGCATCGATCGTGCTCCCTGCAGGCCAGACCTCACGCCCCAGGACGCAGAGGAGAGGCCGTGCACCCCAAACGTTATGCACCCCTCCCTGCTGGGCTGGCTGGTCCTCACTGGCGGGTCCTGGACTGATGCTGGGCCCCAAGTCAGCGACCCTTCATCCCCCGAGTCATTCTGGTGAAGGCAGAGAAAAGGCTACAAAATATTAGCAAACCGAATTCGGCAACACATTAAAAATATCATACTCCACGACTGAGCTAGGTTTATCCCTGGGGTTCAAGGTTGGTTCAATATTCGCAAATCAATTACTAGGATACACCACGTTAACAAACGGAAAGATAAAAATCACACGATCTTATCAATAGATGTGGAAACAGCTTTTGACAAAATCCAGCATCCATTCATGATAAACTCTCTCAGCAAAGTGGGAATAGAGGGAACATACCTCAACGTAATAAAGGTCATATGTGACCAACCTACGGCTAACATCATACCCAATGGGGAGAAGCTAAACGCGTTTTCCTTAAGATCAGGAACGAGACAAGGGTGTCCGCTTTCGCCGTTTTCATTCAATGCAGTATCGGAAGGTCCGGCCACAGCCATCGGGCCAGAAAGCGCCACACAAGGCAACAAA